CCTTGCATCCAGCACTGCACCATCTGAGCCGTCTCTCCAGCCCTAATTTCATTCTTCTGTATGGCTGAGCATATCACATTTTCTTTATTAGTTTGTCTGTCGGTGGGCATCTAGTCTGGTTCCATCTAGGCTGGCGTCTTGGCAATCGTGAGTAGGGCAACCGTAAACCTGATGTGCGAGCATCTCCAGCTCTGCTCGGATGAGTTTCCTACCCAGGAATGTGCTTGTGCTGTCACTCCTCCTTCCAAAGGTTTCTAGTGTTTTAGACGTATGTTTGAATCACACCTTCAGAAGGCGATGGAAAAAGAGGCTGTAGAGTTCTGCTTAAGCAGGGCCTCTGGGAGCATGCTGCCCTTCTAAATGATCTTTTGATGAGTACCCACAGGAAAGACTTGACCTCTGAAATAGGTCAGGCTGCCACTGTGTTGAGGAAGTCCCCCTAGCCAGTAACCGGTTCCTAGACATGACCGTGGCACACATGAACTCACTGCAGCTGGGGTTACCTCCACAAGACAGGGCCTGACAACATTTTCCACATGTGTGTGATCAGGGCTCATGTTTTCAGTTAGTAGCTGCTGAGAGAGGGAAACATTAGTAAATTGCCGTGCTCCAGTAAATAACCCAACACATGCTCATGTGAGCGACCCTAATTAAGGCCTATGAGTCATTAAAAAAAATAACAAAATTAGACATGAAAAAGTAGGAAGGGGACTTGGAAAAAGAGTAGGGGGATAGGGAATAAAATGAGCAAAATATGATATATGCATGTATGAAGTTATCTACATATTTAAGGAAAACAAGGAAGCAGGGGAGAGGAGCAGCAATATAGATCAGTGAGTCTAGGTGCTTCTGTCAAGTCTGGTTACTTGAGTTCAGTCTCTGGAACCTACACAGTAGGAGAGAACGGACACCCCAAAGTTACACTTTAAGTAGTTTTAAAGAGAAAGTATCCGGAGATTTGTTGGCCCAAGAGAGACCCCACCCACCCACCCAAAGGCAGGCATTAGGATCAGTTTGTGTCTTTGAGAAATGGGATCTGCATTTAGTCAGTCATGGTCTCCAGGTGATTTGGATGTACCCCAGAGCCTGGGAAACCATGCTTCAGGACACCCACTGAAAGTACAGTATTGGCACACATCTTCTTAAGGCTGTCCATTCTGTGTTTGGATTCTCTACCTGTCCCAGGAGCCCAATGCCCACATGGACAGCCACTGCAGTAGAGCCCCTCTTCGGGTTACCAGCTGGACTGAATCCTAGCTCTGCCACTTGCAGCCTGTGTGACTTGTCCTTTATGCGCCTGTTTCCCTCCTGAGAAGACTGTTAGGAGAGACCCTACATCAAAGGGCATTGCAAGGATAGTGAGTTGACCCACATAAAGCAGTTAGGAGTTCGTGGAGTTGGATCCTATTAGCTGGTGGGTCACAGATGTCACACTGAGTGCCAGTCCCCTGCGCACCTCAGACAAGCAGTTCCTCAGATGGCAGCCTTGCCATGTCTGAGTGTGACTCTGGGTCACACATGTGACCATGTATGTCATCGTGCCTTTGGGCCAGGCTTCTGGTTTCCCCAGCCCCCCACAAGGATGGATGAACACAAGCCCTTCAAGGATCACAACATTCCTCATCCACATCTGCCACAGTCCATTGCCCCTCTATCCCCACCCCGCAAGGCTGAGCATTAATTACACTTCTCTCTACTCGGTTTCCCTGGGGTTGGCCCCCGTGTCTCCTCCTAGATTTGCCAGGAACACATGTGTGCCCCCACCCTCCCAAGGAAGTGTGTTCAGGCCTCTCTGGGCTGCTATGCTCCTGAAGTGTAGCCTAACTGTTGCTTATGCCTCTCTCCTTGGTGGCACATGTCTCCAGAGCAGGTCCCCGAGTACAGGTACCAACCAGGTAGGACCTGGGCAGGCTATTTCACCTCCAAGAAGAGTCACATCCAAAGGCTGGGGGTGGAGGTATGGGGAGTGGCTGGGGGGATGACTTGGTGAATAAACTGTTTGCTGGGCAAGTATGAAGACCCAAGTTCAGGTGCCTAGCACTCGTGTAAAAAAAAAAAGTCAGGTTTAGTGGCATGCAGCTGTAAGGCTGGGCAGGTGGATACCAGGGTCTCATGGCCAGATGGCCTAGCACACTTGGTGAGTTTTGGGTTCACTTAAAAACCCTACCTCAGAAAAGAAAAGGAAAAGGAAGAGGAAGACACCCGACATCGACCACTTACACACACACACACACACACACACACACACACACACGCACGCACGCACGCGCACGCACGCACGCACGCACAGAGGCTGGGGGAGGATTTCTGAGCTAATTATTATAGAACGCTGACGTGGGGCTGGATACAGCAAATGTCCCATGTCCATATGAACCATGGTTGTTTCCTGTCATCCTCTCCATATTAACCTTTCACCCTTCTTACCACATGATACTCTATGTATCCTCCACTGGGAACTGACCCATGTTGGGTTCCCAAAATGCGTTCTGGAAACTTCTAGTTGAGAAAGAAAGGCCATTAGAACCCCTTACATCCTGGCCTGGTAATGGTGACCACATTGAACATACCCTCAGGAGGGGAGGAGAAGCAACCCTTCCTACCCTACTCTACGTTCATACGTCTGCACACATGCGTGCACGGGCACACACAGTGGGGGTGGCTGAGGTTTCATTGGTGGAGAAGGCCATCCTCCTCACACCTGTAAAGGATTAGTGGCCATCTAGTCATTAAAGGATTTGTTAGGCTAGACCAGGGGAAACATGGTACAGGTAGACCTGGTACCCACCTTCCCAGTGTAGCTTGCTGGTGTAGTGACAGCCCCTGCTGCCATAGTGATATGGATCTAGGCTATTCTGAGTCCCCATGCAGGCAGCAGGGAGGGCTGCCCCCTGCTCCCCGTGGGAAGGGAACACTCAGGGCTTTAATTATACCTTCTGTCTGGATTAACTGGGGCCACAACCACATTCTGTACAGGGCAGCTGCTGTTAGATTACTTCCCAAACCCTTTTAAAGCTGTTGAAAGCAAAACCTTCTAAGGATTCTATATACTCAAAGGGACAGCAAAATAGCCTGGTGAGAACAGCTGCAGGACAGACTGTATCCAGCTACCATTGTGTCTCCAGAGTCCTTCTTGGCCACCAAAGGAAGGGAGAGCAGCAGGCGAGACAACCGGCAGCATCCCCGGCCCTGGCTCCTGCACACTGGGAGGGGGCCAGGGAGTGTGCCCGAGTGTGGGCTGCTTGTCCTCTCAGAGCGGCGATGCTTCTTCACTCTCACGGCATCCGGGGCCCGGCCTGGTCCCGGTCTGTGACTCCTGTTTGCAGACAGTGCCCACCTGTGCGCTCTGCGGGAGCCTCTCACCCCTTCGGCATTCTCAGTGCGCACACCCTGTCCTAGAAGACACCTCTGAGACCCCAGGACAGGCTTCATACAGATGGAGCGAGCCACAGGCAGACTAGAAAGGCCGGTAGAGGACCTCACTGTCTGCCCTGCTGAAAAATCCAGTCCCGTGCCTACATATTTGTGGGATTTCTCCTAGAAAAGTCTGAATGCCGCTCCACCCACTCAAAGACCCCTCGTATGGATTCAAATCACCAGTTTAGCGTCATGGACCACTCCCCACCCCCGCCACAGACTTCCACCAATCAGCTCCCTAGAGTTTAGCCAGCCAGGATTCTCTGGCCCCAGTGTTCAACCCCTAGACCCAGGAGTGGAAGCCTGTTTGTCCCGGTCTTGAGTTAGCCTCCTGTTTGTCCCAGGCCTTCTCTTGGTACAAGGCTTAGAAGATGTGGTGACTTCCCAAATCCTCCAATGCCCAGTAGCTTCTCATTGCACCCCAATTTCTTTTTTTTCCTTTTTTTGGGGGGAAAGACCTTGGGGAACCAGCATCCATAAGGAAATAACTGTAGGCTGGGCGTTGGTGGCGCATGCCTTTAATCCCAGCACTTGGAAGGCAGAGGCAGGTGGATCTCTGTGAGTTTGAGACCAGCCTGGTCTGCTGAGCGAGTTCCAGGACAGGCTCCAAAACAATACAGAGAAACCCTGTCTCAAACAACAAAAAAGGAAATAACTGTAGTTATCACTAATTGAGTTGTTGGTTTTCATTGGAAGGTAAGGAAGTATATTAACTTGTACCACATCTAGTCCAAAACTGTGGCCTACAAGCAGTCTTGTTGTGTAAATGAACAGGTGTTTCAGAAGGAAGCTGTGTCCACAGTTTTCTCCAGTCCTAGACCCTATGGTGAGGTAGATTACTTCAGAACATTCTATTCAATATAAGACTGCTTATTGATGTCTCGATGAAAACTTGAAGCCACCTGTCAGTTCCACCCTCTGGCTAGAAAACAAAGCCAAGCCATTTGTCCTCTGTAACCCAGCCACACAGAAGTGAAGAACTGCTCCGGATGCTTTGGCTTGTCCCATTATTTTTTTTATATATAGTCACAGAAAGCTGTTATACACATGGCAAGAGTGAGCCTCTGATGCCCCCTTCTAAGTGAAGAGAGTCAGATTCAGAAGGCTAGAAACTTGTTTCATTTATGCGGTATTGTATTTGGAGTAAAGCCAGGAGACGGCTAGTACCTGGTACACACTTGTAACCTCAGCACTCAGGAGGCAGAAGCAGAACCTCTGACTACTACTTGGGTTCACCAGACAAATACAATCCCATTGTTTTGTAATGACAGTTGATGGCAGCAATGAACTTGAGCATGACTTCTATTGACCTATCTCTTTACCATGGTGAATAGACTTGGTCATATAAAGGGTTATGGAAAACTATTCCTTCCAAAACAATTATGCCCTGGATCCTTCCTTGCCTCCCACAAAGAAGAATCCCAGGACCTTATAAGGTCCCCACACCTATGGTCTAGAGAACAGGAACAAGGACGGGAGGAATTATGAAAGGGGTTCCAATCCTCTCTGGGAGGGGAAGCCAAGAGGGATGGAGGGACCGTACCTGCAAATCTCCAGCTGATAATATAGGGGGCTTTATCTTCTAGGGTTATCTGTCAGAAGGATTGGTGACAAAGTGGTACCGTTCTCCACGACTGCTCCTGTCCCCCAACAACTACACAAAAGCCATCGATATGTGGGCAGCCGGCTGCATCCTAGCTGAGATGCTCACGGGGAAAATGCTCTTCGCTGGTAAGTTGCTAACCAAGGCCCCATGCTTCCTCCTCAATGTTACTCAGACTGTGTACGAAATACTCACCGAGCCCCAAACTTGCTAATCTTTGGCTGAAATGACTTCTTTGCTTTTTATAATACTTCCTGTGGACAGTATTATAATTTCATACAAAAATTATAAAAACTCAAATTAACTTTGTAAGCACAGGACTTTTGCAATTGACTAACCACTTTGCTATGATCTGAGGCTACCACCTCAGTTTAGTACTTGAAGAAATGGGGATAAGGGGAAATGGTCTGTGGAGTTTGTCCTCTTATGAGAGTTCCCTCACCCCTTATACCATGTGAAGATATAGCAGGAATGAACCATTTATGAGAAGCAAGCCCTTAACTCATCACTAAATCTGCCAGTGCCTTGACTTGGGATATCTCAGCCTCCAGGACTTCAAGAAATAAATGTTTCTAATCCATTCCATCTAAGTGTTTTGTTATAGCAGCTCAAGTGAACTAAAATACACTTGTACTCCAGCACCTTCAAACTAAGTGCTGAAAACAACCACCCAGTATTTTCAGGCTCTTCCTCCTCATTCTCTTGACACCCTGTGCCCCATCCTGTAGCTCCACCAAGTAACACATTGCTTCCCTCATCTATCAAGACTTTCCTCACCTTGACACAAAATAAAGAAACCCATCTTGCTGGGCATTGGTGGCAAATGCCTTTAATCCCAGCACTTGGAAGGCAAAAAGCAGATCTCTGTGAGTTTGAGGCCAGCCTGGTCTACAGAGCAAGTTCCAGGACAGCCTCCAAAACAATACAGAGAAACCCTGTCTGTAAAAAAACAAAACAAAAAAAGAAACCCATCTCTGCTTGGAAAACGCCCACTCAAGCCTTATTTATGCTCTTGTCCTCATGATGGCTTTAATGCCCCGGGCAGTCCTCCATCCCTCCTGGTGCTCCCACAGCATTCCATCCTCATCCCTGTTCCCAATCCTTGCCTGGAGGAGCATTTGCTGTCTCTACTTACTCCTCACCCCTCTAGCTCATTAGTCATTTTGCGTTGTTGTGACAAGGACCCAATACAAACAACCGAAAAGGAAGGCAGGCTTAGCTTTGACTCAGTTTCAGAGGTGTCAGTTACTGCTCAGCTGGTTGTAATCATTCAGACCTGTGGGGGGGGGCATTCAGAAATAAAATATACCCTTCAAATGCATACCCACAGTGAGCTACTTCCTCCTAAATAGCACCCACATCCTGCTCCAGCTTTTCAGTGCATGAAACTGCTGAAGACCCAATGGCCTCTGAATAGTGACCAGGGGAGCTCTATGCACCCCACCCACAGGCCTGACTCTTCTTAATCCAGCAGAACCCATTTTACCCTCATCCTGTCATGCTGGTTAGTAGCAACTGTCCCCCACTCCTCCAGACTCAGCCTTGGGTGGACAGCCTCTACCTCCCTCTCTGGACCAGGTCTCCAGACCCGCTTCTCAGTCTGTTTCCTCTGTCTTGGATCCCTCAACCTCCCCTAGTTCCCACCCGTTGGCCCCATCCCTCTGGCTAGCGTGTTGAAGAGCCAGGCAATGCATAGCTGACCTCCATATGCTCAGGCAGACAGTGACAGCCAGAGCTTCAGTACAAGGGAGGTAGGAAAACCAGCAGCTAGTAAGGTTGTCTCTGACCCCAAGGACACATCAGAAGAGATGGAAGAAGGGTCACAACAGCAGCACCTGCTCCCCATTTTCAATGGCTCCTTAGTAAACTCAGTGTGCTAATGGGCTTCACCCAAGTGATCACCAAAGATCACCAGGGATGATTAGGGCATCGGTCTTCCACATGGATTTTTGCCATTGGCTTCTCTGAGAAATTCACACCCCCCCAGCTCTAGAAAACAGTGGAAGCCAGGGTTTATCATACATTAGCCATGAACTGTACCCCTGGTGTGCCAACAGGATGGCTTCCTTTTACCAGTCATTCCAAGTGTCTGAAGTCATCCTCCTCCTCCAAGGTGTGGCAAGAAAGATGATGGGCAGCCCGGTCTGCCTGACTCCCGGGTCCCTGCCCTTTGCCTCACTGCATAGATCATGAGACACCACTCACTGCCGCTGGTACGTCACAGTTGCTCCCTAACAGGAGCTCACAAATGAATAGGAAGAGTTCCCTGCCAGCTCAGCCCTTACTGAGGAGGTGACTCCAAAGCCCGGGGCTGTATGTGACTGGTCTCTGTGTCACAGAGGAGAGGAGTCGGGGTGTAAAGAGCAAGGTGCCAGCATCTGTCTTTGACTTGATCATCGCTGACCTAGAGTGCTCATCCGGAGAAAACAGCCTGCAAGAGGCTCCTGGAGCCCCTTGTCTGACAGGGAGCGGGCCAAGGCATGTCTTTAAGGGAATTCCCAAAGCTGTATAGCTAGTGTTAGATGAGCCACTAGAGTACGACACTCCTTTTAAGCCATCAGCTTCTGGAAGACTGGGATTCTGCAGAAGCCAGTGGACAGAGAAGGGCTCCCTGTGCAAGTGCGTAGCTGGAGAGGCCTTTCCAGGAGAGATGGGTGACTGGGGGTTCAGTCTGGCAGAGAGGAGTGCAAGCAGTCTGAGAAAAGGGGATGGAGGGCAGAGCAGCCCCGCAGCAGGGAGAATTCACACATCCAGCATGATGCCTGGTAGAGAAGTTACCTGTCCTAGTTAGCATCCTGTTGCTGTGAAGAGACACCATGACCAAGGCAGCTTACAAAAGAAAGCATGTACCTGGAGGCTTGCTCACAGCTTCAGAAGGCAAGTCAGTGATCAGCACAGTGGGAAGCAGACAGGCATGGTGCTAGAGCAGTAGCTGAGAGCTTTACATCCTGATCTGTAGGCAGCAGGTAGAGACACACACCTCCAACAAGGCCACGCCTCCTAATCATTTCCAAAACAGCTCCACTCCCTGGTGACTAAATATTCAAATGTGGGGATGGACTATGGGGACCATTCTTCAAACCATCACTGTACTCGATCCATAACTACTGAATGAGTGAATGGATGAATGATGCTTGTCTCTATCTTCCCCCACCACGTCTCCTTCAGGCCTGGCAGAAGCCATCTTCCTCCCTGTGCCCACATAGGAAACGTGTTCAAAGCATCTTCCAAACCCAACCAGTTGTTCCCTATTTTCTGAGTGGGAGCCTCCTGTGGAAGCTCCTTGTACTTGTTCCTTCCTTCCTCAGCCTAGTAGAGTATACAAAGCAGTAGCCTGGCCATCCCCATCTTCAGCTGCCTTGGGCCACATGCTAGCAGAATAGACTGCCTCAGACAGAACTTCCCCAATTACTGACTGTGACAGGACACTTGACAGAAACCCCTCAGTGAAGCAGAAATTTGTGTTGGATTTTGTGTCACAACGGGGAAGGCTTGGTGGCCGAAGTGACCTGGTCAGTGGCAGAGGGAACTTTATTGCGGTTGTTTCACATCTCAGTGGTGAACAGACACCAGAGAACTCGGGTTAGAAGCAGGGCTCTTAACCGCAAGCACTTCCCCCACTGGCCTGTGTCAGCCAAATAATCCCTGTATCCCCAAAGCCTACAGTCTCCCAAAATAGTACTGCCCACCAGGGTCCAAATCTTCAAATACGTGAGTCCTTGAGGGCCATTTCATGTTCAACCATAAGAAATCCCTGCTTTTTACATTTAGCAAAGCCAATCCCCAAAGACAGCAAGCGCTCTGCTCTGCAATGGCCACACAGCTAATTCAGCGGTAGAGTGACTATTAGAACCCAGGTCCCTCGGCTCTGAGCCTAGTGCTGCCTGCTGCCCCTTGGTGGTCCCTGTCCAGCCAGCTGGAGCTTCTCCGGAGCATCCACATATGCAGCCGTCCAGGGAAACAACTTATCCGTGTGGCATTTGCCTCCCCAGGAGCCCATGAGCTGGAGCAGATGCAGCTCATCCTAGAGACCATCCCCGTGGTCCGGGAGGAAGACAAGGAGGAGCTGCTCAAGGTGATGCCGACCTTCGTCAACAGTACCTGGGAGGTGAAGAGGCCACTGCGCAAGCTGCTCCCTGATGTCAACAGTGAAGGTACCCAAGCTGCACCAGGGCGCCATCCCAGGAGGCTGAGCTCTGGTTTCACCTTTTGGGGCAGGGACTGAGGCTTGTGGGCCTCCATCCAAAGAACAGAACATGGGATTCAGACACCAAGCACCCCTAGCAACTGGCGATTGTCCTAACTACATGCTCAAAAGGTTTCACATTTTAGAACAATTGGGTGTTAAGATTTTGGGTTAGGAGTTCAAAACCAGTAAGGGATATATAAATATTTTTTTAAATATACAAAATATCTGAAATTCAAATGAACATTCAGGTAGCGAACTTGGGATAAAGGGCAGTCAACCTGTGCTCTCAGACTGCAGATTCCTAGCCACGTGGCAGTCCCTGGGGCAGTCACTAGGGTTTCAAGCTCTACTCCCCTCTGTACATCTCCACACTCAGCAGTTTCTCCCAGGGGCTCTTGCCCCTCCCTCCAGAAGTCCTCAACCCAGTCAGTGGGAGTACTGTTTGAATATCCTAGATCCCCATTGCTCTGAGCTGTCCCGGCTGTCTCCAGGAGGATCCCAATGGAACTGAGCGTCTGTGTCTCAAGACTAACCACTAGCTTTGGTCCAGTATTGAAGCTGTGGCCTCAGCTTCCAGGGCGGAGCAGTAAGACTTTCAACACATCACCTTATCCATCTGCAACTCTACTTAGCTCAGTTGCAAAACCACGAAACCACTTTTTGCAGACACAAAGTTAAAAGGCACCGGGGGTTGTTACCTTGCTAACTCTTCTCAGCTTGACAGGGGCAGCACATAATCTTTATGAATGGCTTTGCTCCCTACAGCCATTGACTTTCTGGAGAAGATCCTGACCTTTAACCCCATGGACCGCTTAACAGCTGAGATGGGGTTGCAGCACCCCTACATGAGCCCTTATTCATGTCCCGAGGATGAGCCCACCTCACAACACCCCTTCCGCATCGAAGATGAGATCGATGACATCGTGCTGATGGCTGCCAGCCAGAGCCAGCTCTCCAACTGGGACAGGTGAGTGTCCGAGGCTGCTGTCCAGAGCCACGCCCACTTATGTTCTCACATCCCTTTTGCCTGTGATCCTGTGACCGCCGTTCCCCAGATTGCAATCTGTGTTGGGCACTGTTCCCAGTTAGTTCCTGCCTGCCTTTCTCCTGTGCCCAGCCATTCCCAGTGGGCCAGCTTAGTGCTGCCCATGTGAGACAAGGACTTCCACTCTGCAGAACAAATCCCTCAGCTTTCCTTGATACCCTAAGACCACTAAACACAAGGCTCAGTGCATACAGGGGAAGTGTTAGTGTCTACTGTAGTATTTCCTGAACAACAAACAGGCTGGAACGTTTCTCCTAGAGTATGCTAAGCAACAACTCTGCCACTGAACTGCATCAGTCAAGATTTTGCCCTCAGAAGGCCAAATATGACAATGCAAAGCAAGAAAACAGTGCAGAGTTCACTGGCACAAACAGTTCTCACTTTGCACGTGACTCGCCTCCTGCGAGTGCCCTTGAAGCAGACTGTGTCATTTTTATCGTCCATGAGAGTGTCTCGGCTTAGAGAGGTTAAAGGACAGGCTCCATGTTACACAGCAAACCCACGCAGGGCCGTCCCTACACGGTACCCATGTCCCACACTGCTGAGAGCATCACTTGACTTCGGGATCCTTGACAGGGGCCCGGTACTGGAGAGTAGACTTTTAAGCCATTCCTACAGGAGTCGTAGGATTTCATAGTTCCTCTCCTGTCCTGGCTTTCTCGGATCAGGCACCGGGGCACCGCTATCTGACGCTGCATCAGTACTGCTTGGTTTCGACAAGGCAGTGGAGGGGGTGCTTAGCGGCATCAGCTCCAAGGGGGCTACCTGGGAGCCTCGCTGCCATGGGAATGTGACAGCTGGGTTATGTAAGTGGCAGATAGGCAATTTCTCTTTTTCAGTCGTTTGACAGATGATAGGTTTCAAATTGAGGGGGTCCAACGAGGGGGTAGGGCACTGTTATTTGGGGCAGGGTTTGGTAGCTTCTTGTCAGCAAGTAGCCATTTATTGACTCTTCTGCCAGCCTCATGCTGGGGCTGCTCTAGACTGTGGTTCTTAGACTTGTGCCCCCCCCATGCCACAGAATTCAGGGCATACGATGTTGGATTGGCACCAGGTAAGACTGTAGCAAAATCACTAAGGTCACAGATTGTCAATTCAGGGTAGAACCAAGCCCGACACTCTTGCTCCTGGCCGTCCCCATCACACCTGCCCAAGGGACCAGGAAGATAAAGTCCATGCACTGCTGCAGTGGCCTTCACCTTTGTGGTGTGCTAATTTTCTCGTCTTTGAGGCTGTGGCAATAACACTAAGGCCCCTCAGGATTGCTGCAAAGGCAATAGGGAATGTAGGGTTAGCAGTTGGGGCGCAGTGTATGAATACTGGTGCTTCCTGACTCTTCTGCCTAGAAACCACCACAATTTCAAGGTCATTCGGGGAAAGGGCAGTGCTGTACTCAGAGCCATGCCTACACATTAATGGAATCCTTGGGAGGTAGGAAACTCAAGCCATAGCCAGAGTACCCCCTAATCTCCAGCCACAGTCAGAGTACCCCATAGTCTGTGGGCTGCAGCTGCCTGGCCTTCTCTGGTCTAATTGTCCTGTGTGAGCACCAGGCCACTGGCTCAGGGAGCAACTGGCCAGGAGCTGCCACCTTGTCCGTGTTCCCTGGCAGAAGAAAGGGTTTCAGCTAGAACTGACAGCCAGCCACCTGCCTGCCCATCTGCCCTTCGTTTGCTCTTGGCTATCTGATTCCACTGTCCTTGGCTACAGGGTAGTCATAGGAGGGCAGAATTCCAAGGCTCTTTGGCCTCCCCCGATGATGTCTGTGATCTTTCTGCAAACCCCATCTGCTCTGCTGGGATGTGAGGTGCTACGGGACACCTGTCCAGATCCATCATGGCAGAGGTTATCAGCCTTGGCTACCTCTTAGAATCCGTGGGGAAGTCTCACAAACACGCCCCGGCAGGGCCATCTAGACCTGTTGAACCAGAGCATCAGTGGTGAGCAGCAAGGGATACCTGGTACTTACTTTTAATCCTCCTGTGTGATTTAAACCTGAGTCAGGGTTAGGAAGCACCCATTAGGGCTTGCCCCTCAAAATGTGGTCCAAGGATCAGCAGCAGCCTGCTGGAAACCCAGAATGCCAGGCCCCATGCAGAGGGAGGCAGGCAGGGATCAGGCGATTTGGCTCCCCATCCTTCCTGGGTGGTACCGTCACATCTCCATTTGCACTCTTGCAGGTATCCTGTGAGCCTGTCGTCAGATCTAGAGTGGAGGCCTGACCGGTGCCAGGATGCTAGCGAGGTGCAGCGTGACCCACGTGCTGGCTCTGCACCGCTGGCTGAGGATGTTCAGGTGGACCCACGTAAAGACTCTCAAAGCAGCTCCGAGCGCTTCCTGGAACAGTCACACTCGTCAATGGAGCGTGCCTTCGAGGCCGACTATGGGCGCTCCTGCGACTACAAGGTGGGGTCCCCGTCCTACCTAGATAAGCTGCTGTGGCGCGACAACAAGCCCCACCACTATTCAGAACCCAAGCTCATCCTGGACCTGTCACACTGGAAGCAGGCAGCCAGCACGCCCCCCACAGCTGCAGTAGCAGCAGACCGGATGTCATGTGAGGACGAGCCGGCCAGCCTCTTCCTAGAGATCGCTCAGTGGGTCAAGAGCACGCAAAGTGGCCCTGACCGGGCCAGTCCCCCCCCTGACGCGCCAGAGCACCGCCTCTCTGCCTCGCCCCCAGGACACCCGACACCTGTCGATGGGGGTGCCAGTCCCCAGTTTGACTTAGACGTGTTCATCTCGCGTGCTCTAAAGCTCTGCACCAAACCCGAGGACCTACCGGAAAACAAACTGGGTGACCTCAATGGTGCGTGCATCTCTGAGCACCCTGGCGACCTCGTCCAGACAGAGGCCTTCTCCAAAGAAAGGTGGTGAGCACAGCAGGGGTACAGAAGAACTTCCGGAGCAAGAGGCCACCCAGAAAACCGCACCACTTCCTTGCTCGCCTAGCACTTCCTTCTGCCCCTCTCTGATGCACTGGGGTTAGCAGAACACCCGAGGATCCGGGGAGAGAGAGGAATGTCCATTTCTTAAACTGCCTTAATAACTAGCCTTTAACCTCTGGGAGCGGGATTGAATGGAGCCTGGCTGGGAGCTATCACTTTCCCATCGAAGGGGAGGCCTCTGTTTTGTAAGTGACAGCATGCAGGAAATAAAGTGAGCTCCTACAGCAGTCTATAGCCCTATCAGGGCCAAGGGGGCAGAAGCAGCTTACAGACATAGTTTCTAAACCATGAGACCCACCTAGTTCCAAATGGCCATCTAGGCTCAGAGAAGCTGTGTCTGACTTAGGGCCACAGGCCGAGTGAATGTCAGGGTAATTAAGTCTGAATCCCAGGCTCCTGTCCCCCCAGACCAGTGTCTGACCACAGTATAATGTCTTCCTCTGCTGGGGTCACTCTGGCTTTTTGGTCAGCAAACTTGGTCCCAAGTACTTCTTGCGTCCCTTACCATCTGTCCCATCCAATCCTTTAAGAACAATGTTTCCTGTATTCTGAAACTGGAAACAGTTTCTTTCTCCTAGCCACCGCACACATTTTTATAACTTCCCCAAGTGCTTAAGCGTCCTCACCTGCCGCAGCATGTCTGCATTTGCCCAGACTCAGCACAGTCTGAAGTTGCCGCTTCAGATCAGAGCAGTCCGGGTCTCTGGGTGAGTTCAGTCATCTCCCAGGCCTGTGCCTGTGCCATGCAGCATCCTGCAGCGTGCCCTATGCACTTTCCTGACACAGCCCAGCTGGCATTCCCCAGTGGATGTCACACATGGGTGAGTTGGAAGACAGCAATTCCAAGAATCCCTCTTGTCCAACTCCCCGCATCCCACCCCACCCACATACACACAGCTCTTCTCCAAACCTACTTCAGAACCAAATGTTCTTGGCACAGATTGCTCATTTGTAGGAAAAGCAATAAGGTGTTTTCCATAGAAACAAATGAGTTAGGAGGGAAGGTTCCACAGAGGGCCCATCATCCTTCATTAATGTTGCCCTTGATCCCAAGCATCCATTCAGGGCTAGCCAAGAGTGGACTCTAAAGGAGTGACTGGAGAACTAGTAACCTAACACAGAAAGATAAACTAGGTGTTTAAAGAGGGGTACCAACCTCTAGTGATCTGAAGAGGCAGATATCAACCTGGAGAAACCATGACAAAGAAAGAATTCAAAGTAACCATGCACTCATAGTTTAAGTTAAGATGAACTTAGAATCCAAAGCTCTCTGCAGAAGCCCCGGGATGGGACCACCAACAATACCCCTTTTGTTCCTGAATACTCTGCCACTGCTATCTATCCCTCCCCTCCTCCTGCCCCTGCCAACATCCAAAGATACCCAGAAGTCTAGCTGGTCTGTTGAGAGCGCTCTTTGGAATGTGTTCATCCTCACAACGCAACACCTTAAATCTAACTATGATTTGTGTATTGAATCCTACAAGGCATTAGAAACCTGTATTTTACAACAGAATCAATCACACTGACCAGTTCTGAGTGGAAAATGTGTAAATATGAAGTATTTAGGTTTTACTTTTTAAGAAAATGCAATGCACACCACTCCTCACGTGCCATTTGTCTTCAGAGGGAAAAGCTTTACCGTTTGAGTAAGGGACATGCTGCTGATTGGCCATGAGTTCACAGAGAGATGTTATTACAGGAGAATTGTAATTATTCATGTTCTTAAAATCATCTGTTACATATTGTTAAACTTGATCAGGCTGAGCCAAATAAACTTTTATGGGAACAGATGTATCATGAGTTATCACATGAATTGACATCTGACCCTGTCTTTTACCATGGTTAAGTCATGAGAGTCTTCTTGGCTTTCCCCTGCAGTGTGAAAGCCAATGTCTGGAGAGGTGAATTTAGGGTAGGGGTCAGGAAGGAGAGAGTTTATACCCATGTCATCAGGAAGCGACTACACAATTAACTGCTGCAGCCTGGTGTCCATTCTGTGGATTTCTGCTATCTTGGTGTCCACTCCAAACCTCTGATGGGAGCTGATCCTTCCTTATTGTTATTGGAGGTCTCAGCATCATGAAATTGCAGAGAATAACCTGTCTCAAATAGCCACCTGAGCCACATCCCTCACAAGTACCTGAGGTTGCATCTATCTAAAGCTGATGGCTTCATAATAGCTGTGTCAAAGGATGAGTCCTAGCTTCAACCATTACTCAACAAATGACAGACCACAGTTTCAAATTTTTGTTTCTGTTTGGCTTCTCTGGAAGGCTCTTTGGTTAGAACACACTGCTGTTGAAATGCACCTCTGCCAAGATGAGCAGGCTTGTGAGCCTTTCATCACATTCTCTCCAAACCGTCTGCCCAGTGTACAGCAGTGCCCCTTGCCTGCTGTTTCAGTTAGCGTTCCCAGTCAACTGAAGATAGCTACTGGAAGAGTCCAGAAACCAACGGTTCATTAGTCTTACATTCCACACAATTCTGAAGCACAAAGAAGGCTCACATCGTTCCAACTGGGACCCAAATCAAGAATATTCACTCCACTGATCCTCTTGACCACTTTTGTAACTGTCTTGGTCATGACAGCCACTGTTGTCCTAGTGTTTGTGTATGGGACTGGGTATTACACCGCTTCCGGCAACCACTAGGGATGTCTCCCTTCCTCCTTAGGCGGTGTAAGTGAAGACATCCGGGAGTCAGGACAGGAACCCTTTTGAAGTTTTATTGTTAGAAAAACTTCTATGTCCAGTTTGAAGCCTGAGCTATTAAAATGTTTTAGAATGCAATCAGGATACAAAATAGAGGGAGATGAGCAGCCTGAATAGCACCAAATAAGAACTAAGGGGGAAGGAACCCCAAAAGGAATAGGTCACAATGAAACCTAGCCACATAAGATTTAACACTTCTGAAAGGGCTCCAGGGAGACTGTGTAATATGAGACAGCAAACTCACCTACACGCCAAAGGGTTTTATTGAGACATAACTATATACATGCATTCCGATATCTTCCCATTCCGTATTTGAACTTTTGATATTTTGCTTAGCTTGGGGAGATTTTTTTAACAAAATTTTCCATTTGGGAAATAACAGCACTAAAATTTTTATCTTGGTTACTGAGGGTTGTTTGGGCTTAAGTTCTGTGCCCAAGGAAGTGTCCCTCTCTCCCCCATCCTCATCGAAGCTGTATAGTTTGGTCTGCTGAGCCTCAGCAGCAGCAGCAACCCAAGGCATTCTCTATCTGTCCCTGTGCAGAAGTTTGCTGAGCCCTAGGACATGATGCCTCAGGGTCTCCTCAACCCTAGTTATGGTTCACTAACCACACAGTCCCAACCCTGGTCAGTACACTACTTATCTTCCAATTATATCAGAGGCCACACTCCATTAGCTAAATTCTACTTCGTGTAGTTTAGTATTTCCTAAGTTTATTAGCAAACCCTTTATAGCATCAATTTTATTGCTTCCAAGTTTCTCCTGCACCAAAATCAGACTTTTAGCTGGAATGGTTAGAACAGGCAATTGGGAAGCCGGTGTGAAAGCTGGGGTCCTTTTGAACCAGCAAGCTCCATGTGGAGAGGACTAAGGGTCACACAGCTTCTCCTAACTATGGTGGAGAGTGTATATCAAAGTCTCCCCTCAAGACAGGCCACCTGTCTCTCTTCACTATTTAACAAATATGGATGTAACGGTACATGGGGATTTACAGTCCACTCCGACCCCTCAGTTTGCAGAGGAGTAAATTGAAACCTAGAAGCCACAGTTTAGGACGTGGCAGAGCTCGAGTCTGCACACCCCTGTAAAGGGCCCACCATCGTTCCAGCGGCCCATCTGGGTACACGTGGTGGGACTATAACCCGAACAGTAGACGGAACACAAAAGCGAGAATCTGGGTCACGAAAGGCTGCTCTCTTTACCTCATTACCTCTAGCTGCCTGGAGCCCCAGGACAGCTGGTCCTATTGGTTAGAGCCTGGTCTGTATAGAAGGGATGGAGTGAAGGAAAGAAACAGACACTAGGGTGCTGGCATAGACGGATTTCCTTCAGGAGCAAACTAAGGTAAAGATTCAATAACAGGAGTTGTGGGGAGGATCTCAGGAAACACTGAACAGGCTATGGAAAAGCAATGGAAAGAAGAAGCCAATGGAGGACACACATTTCTACCCCCACGCAGCTGCCATGGCATCTTGCAAAGGTGTGGGGAATTCTGGGAGGCAGTCTTAATAGATGAAGGGACTGTAGCCAGTCTGAGCATGGCAAAAATGGTTCTTGAGAGCCTTGCCCTTCTCTCCATTCCCTCTGCTAAGAAAAACATTAGATTAAATGCCTAAAGCTAGCTGCTGAGGTCCATTCTCTTAGTTGTCACTTCCTCCTCCTGAGGCTGACTACCAAGGTCCAGCTATAAAAGTATTGAAGTCCAGCAATCAAAATCCCCCTGTGGCTGCCCCAATTAACATGCCCAATTAAAATTAAGCACCTCATCATAACAGGGGGCCTTCCCCCTTTGCCTTTATAAACCACCATATTCCTACGGGTCACATCTGCCTCCTCTCTATCCAGAGGCAGTCATTTGTCCCTCCAGGACAAATATCTCTGCCCTCTCCCTCTTGTTCCCGTCCCTTTCTCCTTTGTCCCCTATCTCCTGTCTTTGTCTCTTATTCCTGCCCTCTGTTCTTCTGGGACACACAAATCTCCTTTGTGTTGAGAACTTGGTCTTGGGGGTCCTGAGCCAATACCCATCTTTTAGATAGCAAAATGGACAACCTTGGAATACTTACTGATGAATCTTCACCTTAGAGAACTTCCCCAGCAACTCTGGCCTCCACTGCATCTTAATAGGTCCCAAATGGCCACGGGCAAGAGGACACAGGTGCAGGCAGATGGAAGCTAACACAGAACAGAGGAAGGTGAGGGCCAAACGCCTGTGGTGTCAACAGTGGGAATTAGCACAAAGCAGTCCAGGCCACAGACAAAGAATGCACCCAGTGCTGGCAATGCAGTCCCCAGCTAGGATTTCTCAAGTCTCTGCTTTCTGTCCTGCAAGAATGAAAACCAAGCTCAGGACAAGCTGCTGTAACTGAACTTCAGAAGTGAGGAGCTGGGAGATAGTTCAGCCCTGCAGCGTTAGCATGAGGACCTGAGTTCCAGCCTCAGCATCCAGCTAATGGCAGAACACACCATACATCTATAATCCCCACGCCAGGGTGGGAGGTGGCGACAGGCAGAGCGCCCATGGATCATTGGCCAGACAACATAGTCAAATAGATGAGCTCGGTGAGAGATCCTCGTCAAAGAACAAGGTGCAGAGAGATGGAGGAAGACACTCAATAGTGACCTTTGGCCTACATGTCCATGTTCACACAGACAGAGTTCCACATGCACAAATTACTCCCCCACATGAGCATAAGCATACATCACACACACACACACTTCCCCACATGAACACAAACATACATCACACACACACACTCCCCCACATGAACACAAACATACATCACACACACACTCCCCCACATGAACACAAACATACATCACACACACACTCCCCCACATGAACACAAACATACATCACACACACACTCTCCCCACATGAACACAAACATACATCATATACACACTCTCCCCACATGAACACAAACATACATCACACACACACACTCCCCACATGAACACAAGCATACATCACACACACACACTCTCACACATGAAAACAAACATACATCACACACATACATCCTCCACATGAATACAAACATACATCACAGACATACTCCCCACATGAACACAAACATACATCACACACACTACTCCTCCACATGAACACAAACATACATCACACACACACACTCCACATGAACACAAACATATATCACACATACACAATCCTCCCCATGAACACAAACATACATCACACACACACACTCCTCCACATGAACACAAACATACATCACACACACACACTCCCACATGAACACAAACATACATCACAGACATACTCCCCCACATGAACACATCATACATCACAGACACACTCTCCCACATGAACACAAACATACATCACACACACACACTCCCCCACATGAACACAAACATACATCACACACATACACACTTCCCCACATGAACACAAGCATACATCATATACACACACTCCCCCACATGAACACAAACATACATCACACACACACACTCCCACATGAACACAAACATACATCACACACACACACTCCCCACATGAACACAAACATACATCACACACACATACTTCCCCACATGAACACAAACATACATCACACACACACTCCCCCACATGAACACAAACATACATCACACACACTCTCCTCCACATGAACACAAACATACACCACACACACACTCTCCCACATGAACACAAACATACATCACACACACACTCCTCCACATGAACACAAACATACATCACACACACACTCCCCCACATGAACACATACATACATCACACACACACACTCCCACATGAACACAAGCATACATCACACACACACACTCCCACATGAACACAAACATACATCACAGACATACACTCCTCCACATGAACACAAACATACATCACACACACACACTCCCCCACATGAACACAAACATACATCACACACACACACTCCCACATGAACACAAACATACATCACACACATACATTCTCCCACATGAACACAAACATACATCACACACATACACACTTCCCCACATGAACACAAACATACATCACACACACACTCCTCCACATGAACACAAACATACATCATATACACAC